GGCCTGAATGACACGCAGAAGTGCAGCAATGGCTGGGTGTACCCCACAGCACAGCAGCCATCCCTGCTCACCGAGGTCTGTATGTCCTTGTCATGCTTTGGGGATGTGGGATGGGATGGGAGCATCCTGTGCTGTAGGTTGGTTGAAGATGAAGCTGGCTGTGGTGCAGCTGGGCTGAGATTTGCACCAGGCATTTTCTGAGGAACGCTGGCTCCATCTCTCAGATTGCAGCTGCGGTCCTTGTGAGGTTGTGTGATCTTAATGGCCATTGGGGCTACTGGAGGAGAATCAAGGAGTCATGGGCTTATAGAATGCTTGAATTGGAAGGGACCATAAAGCCCATCTACTTCCTACCCCTACTGTGTGCTGATTGCCCTCCCACCAGGTCAGGCTGCCCATGGCCCCATCCAGCCTGGCCTTGAGCACCTCCAGTGATGGGGCATCCACAGCTCTCTGGGCAGCGGTGCAACAGAGATAATAGAGACTATATCCTTAGGACTGGGGTCTCTGCTCCCAGGGGCTACAGTGAGAGCCTGTGCAGCCAGCCCATGCCCTCTGGGATCAGAAGTGCTGCTCAGTTGCAAAAGCAGCTCTGTTTCCTTCCCGCAGTTTGATCTCGTGTGTGACAGGAAGAACCTGAATGACATCTCACAGTCCATCTATATGCTGGGAATGTTCCTGGGAGCCATGATCTTTGGACTCTTCAGTGACAGGTAAGGAGACACAAGCAATTGCCCAATCTGTATGCCAAAACAGCAATGTGTAGGGTAGCACAATGCTCCAGTTCTGGCTAGCCACAATACCCTGTGTATTTTGTCACCAGCTATCACAAAATTATAGTGACCCTGACCAAAGTCCTCAGATCTTGCAAAGTCATGGCCAACAGGATGGTCCAAAGAAGGGCACGATGTGTGGGAATTGGGACAACACTGAACTTCACTGCCCTCAAGAGAATCATAGAATCATAGAATCATAGAATCACTAAGGTTGGAAAAGACCTAAAAGATCACCCAGTCCAACCGTTCACCTATTCCCAATAGCTCCTACTAAACCATGTCCCTCAACGCAACATCCAGTCTTTCCTTGAACACCCCCAGGGTCGGTGATTCCACCACCTCCCTGGGCAGTCCATTCCAGTGCCTGACCACCCTTTCTGAAAAGTAATACTTCCTCATGTCCAGCCTGAATCTCCCCTGCCGTAGCTTGAAACCATTCCCCCTGGTCCTATCACTAATGACACGAGAGAAGAGGCCGACCCCCAGCTCACTACAACCTCCCTTCAGGAAGTTATAGAGAGCAATAAGGTCTCCCCTGAGCCTCCTCTTCTCCAGGCTGAACATTCCCAGCTCCTTCAGCCTCTCCTCATATGGCCTGTGTTCCAGACCCCTCACCAGCTTTGTTGCCCTCCTTTGAACACGTTCCAGGGCCTCAATATCTTTCTTGCAGTGAGGGGCCCAAAACTGGACACAGTACTCCAGGTGCAGCCTCACTAGTGCTGAATATAGGGGAAAAGAGAGGACATGTGTGAATGGTTCCCAAATTGCTGGGTATCCTTTTGGGCTCTCTGTGGTGTCTCTCTGGATTCTTAGAATAATCTTAGTTGGAGGGACCTTTAAAAGCCATCTAGTTTAACTTCCCTGCAATGAACAGGGACACCTACAACTAGAAGAGGTGCTCAGAGCCCCATCCAGCCTGACCCTGAATGTCTGCAGGGACGGAGCATCCTCAGCCTCTCTGGCCAATCTGTGCCAGTGCTTCCCCACCCTCACTGAAAAACACTTTTTTGTTATTACTGTTTCCCCTTATGCTATCACAGCACATCCTGCTAAAGAGTCTGTCCCATTCTTTCTTACAGCCCTCCTTTAGATATTGAAGGGCTGCTCTCAGGTCTCCCCAGAGCCTTCTTTACTCCAGGAGAAAATATCAGCTGTCATCTTCTTCCTCCACAGGTTTGGCCGTCGGCCAGCCCTCTTGATCTCCATCCTCCTCGAGGGTTTGTTTGGTGTAGCAATTGCCCTTGTGCCTCATTTCTATGTATACTTGGCCTTCAGATGTGTTGTGGGGGCTTCAGTGTCAGGGATCATGATGACCTTGCTGGCCCTAGGTGAGTAGGATGCCCTTCCCTGGAGCAGATAGATGTGGCCTCCCACGATGCAGTGGAAAAGGTCTGCAAGGAAAAAAAAACCTCATCCTGCACATCTTGAAAAACTCCCTCCCAAACGAATGGCTTATGTTTTAACATGTCCCCGTGCAATAGCTCAGACTGGCCTTTTTTGGCCTGTTTCTCCTCAAGGCTGAGAGGACAGCATGGGTATAAGGGGAGGCGATGTAGCTCATGAAACTCTGCTGACTTGTGTATATCTGATGTCTACACTCTGTCTACATTCAGCTTCTGAAGGGACCTTCTTCGGGGGAAACACATTGCTTGGATAAGGGGAGATCAGTCACATTGATGGCTTTGAATCTTTGTTCTTTCCAGTTACAGAATGGGTTGGTGTCTCCTATCGACCACAGGCAGTTCTTCTTTCTCACTGCTGTTTTGCTATTGGACAAATGATTTTGGCTGGCTTGAGTTACGGTATCCCAAACTGGAGGTTGCTGCAAACTGTAGGATCTGCTCCTATATTTATCCTTTTCCTCTTCATCTGGTAAGTGCCAGGTGGGCAGTGAACTCCTTGCAAATATGACAGATGCTGGAGGGCCTTCTGCAGAGCTCAGCACATCTCCCTGAGCCACGCACCACTGAGAGCAGCAGCTGCTTTCATTCGGGTCCTCAGATGTGGCCTCAGTGCCCTAAATATAGGGCTGGGAAGCCTAAGCTGAAGCCATGTTTATACTCCTCCATCACACATCATGCATGTTGCTGGACCTGGTGGCAGGGAGATGGACTATGAGGAAGCTGAGCAGGTCACAGTGCTGTTTTCTGCTCTCACCTCCTTGGCAGGGTGCTACCAGAGTCAGCTCGCTGGCTGGTGACAAAAGGCAAAATAGAAGAAGCTAAGAAGTACTTTAAGAAGGCAGCATCCATCAACAAACGCACCATTCCTCCAGAAATGCTGGACCAGGTACAGCAGTGGCATGCCTTGCACACCCCACAGACCTGCCTCTGTGCTTGCAGCCCTGGG